ATTCGGGGGCGAAGCGAGTCATCTCGGCGATCCGACATCCAACAGCTCGTTTCCAGTATTACCGCCGAAAAGCGATCTCTTGAGCGCCAGCAGACGATGTTCCGAGTCTGACTCACGGGCAAGCTGGCGCGGTCTCCACTTCTGTAGGGAGTTGGAAGTCAAGCAGGAAACCACGTGCATCGGGATCGCTCTTCGTTGTGCGCTCTCGGGCTGAGCTTCACTGTGCATCGAGACTTTGTAAATCAAATATCGTCTCCGCAGGCGAGCTGGAGGCCGGAAACCCTTTCCGAGTCTCACGCCTCATTCGGGAAACGGAACTCTATCGAAAACATCATCGAAATAATTTTGTCCACCTAGGAATTGATTTTTGACCACTGTGCGCCGGGACCCGCGAGCCGTTGACTGCCCGCTATATATTGCAGATACACACTCAAATCTGTAATAGGCAACTTTGAGGAACTCGCACGCGAGCCGGAGTCGATCACGCCTCAGTGGAGTCTCCCAGAGTGAGTTTGGCCATGATTTCACTATCCTCGACGCTCGATAGGGCTCAAAATTTTGACTTCGGTCGGGTATACGACTCGTTGTGACTGGTCGGGGGTGACTGTGGAAGACGAAGCGTTCTATGCACAGGTCCCGGGGTCTCCGGGTTCCCAATCACACCGTCGCCGTCTACGTTGGAGAGATCCGTGGAAAGGTATCCCACCTGGAGGGTCGCATACTGTTGAATGCAAGTAGTTGGACTTCAATGGAAGCACGGAGATTACTGAGCTCACTTTGCTCAAATAGCATTCCTCTGTCCCCTGGGGGATATGGGAAATAATAAGGGGATATAAAATAAAAATGAGGGGATCCATGGAAAGTGCCTATTCAGAGACGTTGAGATCGGGCGAGCATATGGAAACTCAAAGCGCGTCTTGACCCCCACTCGAAATCCGATCCACAGGTAGCTGAGCCTAACGACCACGACGTCAGATTACTGAACTTGCTGACCAACTTCCGGCTAAATTCTCCAAGAATAGAGATATGTACTCGGTATCGATCCCAATGCTTCTCGCACACAGAGCGGGAGACCGACAGTCAGGGAGATGATATGCAACAATCCTGCCTGCAGATGGCTGACACCCAGACATAAACATTGTCCACCTCACTGTACGTCTCGAGACTCGCTTCCAAGCGGACGCTCCCTTGTCTGCGTCACACCATTGTCTCCGAGATGCTAATCCGCTTTCCGGACAGAGCTGACTACAATGTCGCTTCTTCAGAAAATGGAGGTGTTGGATATCGATCCCGGTACCTCTCGCATGCTGAGCGAGCGCTCTATCGATTGAGTTACATCATCTGTGTGGGTGGTTCAGCTCCGCATACGAGCGCTAGTTCTCAGGGACGTGCGATGTGGATTCCGTCGGAGTGGGAATGCTCGAAGTTCGACCCCGAGTTCCCTACGCAATGAGTCTACCTTCGCCAGAGCAACGCGTTTGTTCGAGGGCTAGCCTCCAGTCCCCCAGACTTCAACTAGCAGAAGTTGCGACGGTATGCTCGTAGTGTCCCCTCATCCCATCACAGAGAATTCGATACACGTAAGAGAATCGGAGTTCCGAGCGACGCGAAATGCTACGCTGCGATTGGTCCCAAAGGAGAAATTCTTAGTCATGCGGAACATCAGTTTCAAGGTCATATGAGCGTCCGACTCGCAAGAAAGTTTGTTGCGGATGCTAGATCGGCCGTAAGCCGCGTTTTCGATACGGTGGTCAGCTCAACTGGAGTTCGCCTTCTGAGCGTTCGAGGTAAGACTTGGGTAGATTATATATTTGGATAATTTCTGAGTCATCTTTGGATACTGGCATCTTTCTTGGTTCAGATAGGAACTCGACTTTACCTCGCTGACCGTATGCCTGTTGAGCTCGACCGCGGAGGAATTCTGATTCTTCGGCCGTTCTCTCCCAGAAAATGAAGCCATGATGGTTTCGATTAGCCGGCTTGAGACTCGTCGTCATGTCATCATCCCGGCTCATAAACTATTACAATCGTGGGACCGAAAGTGACTCACGTTGATGAGCTGGTTGATTTTATTCCGAGAATGAGCGCCCTTGCTCTCAGAATTCCAGGCATTTGGAGCAGGAAGAGATGAATTATATGAGGGACGGGTTTCCATGGGGCGGAGTCGATTAGGCGGCGGAGCAGTCTCAAGGTGCTAATTACGTTAGACCGAGCGAGAATTTCCCAGAATCTGGGCGACGAAAACGATGTCTCAGAGCGTGGTTATGGAACCCAGAGGAATCGAGTTCCGACCAGGATCCCGGAAAAAAATGTCTGTGGAGTACTCTCCAGTGAGTTGTCTTTATTCGTATCACAGAATGATGGTAATGGTAATTTATTGATCTAGGAGGGTCTTCTGTGTATGTTACGTTATGATTCGTTTCCGAAAAGATGATTGTATGTTCCGCGGATGTAGTTGTGATTATGCATGATGCTTGTTATTTTACACGATCCAAGGATAACATTCGTCGAATAATTGTTTCCGATCGTCTAGGATGAAGATCTGTGCCAGAGAAATTCGTAGTATCACGCTTCACAGCAACACGGTCAGCCGCTGTCTATGGCCTCCCTGCCTTGGCAGTCCGAAACACTCGAGAACAGCTGATCAGCCAGATTTGACAAACAAATGAAGGAGAAAACTTCAGATCGTCGCTTCCAAAAACGAAAAGCTCCGTTCCCGCTCCGTGGACTTTCTCCGAGCTCGTGGCGTAGGATAATCTCAAGACCGACGTCAGTCGAAGTTTATCATGAGGGTAGAGGAGAGAGATGAGTTCACGCGAGCGAGTCTTCAGAATGAGGTGATGCATGATTCACGTCAGCATAGAATGTACGGGCGGTCACTCAATAAAGTAAGATACTTGGCCTTGACAGCGTCGAGTAGGTGGTTCTTGATTTGTGAGCATTGGGGAAATGAGATTCGTAATGGTCTAGTTGTAATCGACTACGAGAGTGACTTTAGCTCTTGAAAAGTCCGGGATGAAGGTGGCGACGAAGAACATAAAGATCACGACGATCATCCATTCCCCGAAGGCGCTGACGGCTGTTCCTGGAGGGTATATTCTTCCGTGGTTCGGGGACGGTTTCATCATATCGAGAGACGAAATCGGAGGGAGACCAACGAGAACTTAAATGAACAAAACAAATGTGTCGAGTGAGTTCCGCCCACATAAAGCATGAAGGTACCTAGAGCGTTCAGGGTTTACGGATTCAGAGTTCGGGAAAATGCTTCGAGTCGGCGAACGTCATCATATTAAAGGAAGCTCCTACACTCACCTAACATGCCACCGAGGAGCGCACCGGCCATCAATATCGATCGAGAGATGAAGACACGGTTGACCCAGTTCGGTCTTTGAACTAGATATGTTGAGAAGGTGAGCAACGCCATCATCGAGATTCCGGACCCAAAGAATATAGCGGCCCCGATGAGATGAGGAACTAGAATTGGTAACGCCCAATTTCCGTCCCGTCGGAGATGTCCTAGAATTCGAAGGCTGCTTCACTATTTGAGCGAGAAATATAATCGAGCATGTTATTGAGATGCCCGAGATGAGCAAAATGAGCAGGTAGCGGGTACACTCTGAGCTCCTGGAGCGGAAAGTCCTCACCGGTAGGGTTTGTGGCGACGCCGAAGAGACCCACCGCCATCAGAAAGCCAGCCGAGACGAGAAATCTGCCCGACCACGACACAAATTTGCAGTCTTTATGATTCTGAGCTTCGACGATGAGATAACACAGGTAGATGCCGATGACAACTGGAAGTTCGGAAATAATGTACATGTGATTCGAAGTAGAGCCACAGTATTCGACTTTTCGCATAGGATCGAGATCGACTAATCTTAGAGCTTGAAGTAAACAGCTTACACATCACAGCGATGAGGCACATTCCTAGTGAGAAGAGCGCTCCTTGCGGTGGGTCGCCTCCGGCGTCAGAAATATACGGTAACCATGCAGGTACATCTCCTCTTTGTACTGCTAGTAAATAAGGTACGATGATGGACACGAAGCCCGTCGTCAAGCCGAGGTACGGTAGAAATTGGAGTTTCGAGAGCACTACATGTCGCGTTGAAGTTTGCTCTGGGCTGAAAACATCCATCGGTAACATTTTCTCCGTGAAAGTCAGGTCCACTAGGCGTTGATTGGGCCGAGGAGTTGTCACGTCAGTCATCTGGATTTGCTGTCGCAGCGTTATGGAACAGGGAAGCCGAGAGAACGGGCAAATATCCAAAGAGTTCGACAGAGACTATTCTCCTCGCAACTTCGAGGGTAACTAATGTATCGATACTTCCACAGAGAAATCCGAACTAAGTCCAAGGGACCCGTGGAGTTTTCTCGCCTCGCTTTCGATTTTCGCCTCGCTTAATCCTGCACCAATGTGATTCGCTGAGGGCTGCCCGTAAGAATTACATGGATCACACCAAAAGGATATTCAGGAGCACACTCCGGGACCTTCCTTCTCCGAGCGAACTACGGCGAGATCCCGAGGCTCTCTCACGGCGCGGGAAATGGAAACCTCAGGCGCACTGGAACTTCTCACGTCGCGATTCTCAGATGGAGACACGAATAAGAACAGTCACATGGCTACCAGTTGTCCAGAAGGTGTTGCAGAAATCCGACATTGCCGCTGTGAGTGCTTCAGTTCCGGCTTGATACCCACAAGATCCGTCTAAGTCTTCGGATGAAATGCTCGCGCAACACTGATCGAATTCCGTCACAGCGTATTCCGGCTCAAAGGGAGAAGCGACCCTAAGTCCACTAAGTTCTTCCCAATTCGAGAGTGAGTGCGCCAGAGAATCCGGGAAAGTCACAAAGGCACTCTTCCCTAAAGACCAACGGGAGTCACAGACATCTTCCGGATTGGTGACAAACACAGATCACTGAGATCCGATTAGGACGCTCCTCGAATACGGAATGGAATGAGAGTCTAAATCACGGTCGAACTGCTGGCACCGCATCGCGAAAATCCACAATTACCGCGGAGCACGGGCTAACGAAACGACAGAAAATGAGACTCGTTGGCTACCCGTCGAAGGCCGTCGCTCTTTCAGACGATACCACTCTAGCTCGCGATGAAATTCTGTCACAGACTGGCATCCAACTCCAGAGTTCTTTATCTCACCTGCGCTCGAAAACGATGCCTTTCATAACATTGAACATTGCAGCCTGCTCTTCGTCGGTGTGCGAAACCTCACTCTTACGATGCGAGCGCGCTCTTCTTCGGAGCTGGACTACTCGGCCAGAGTGACGTCTGGCGGTTGCGCCAAAACATAAGAAACCTGCTTGTGAGATACTTCGGGTGTTGGTGGTGCTGCGGTTGTCGCTGTTCTCGGCGATCAACGTCGGTGGCGACAGAGCGGATCCGCGCGGTGACGACAACAACGAAAGAAAGAGTGAGACCTGCGTGGTTCAACGGGGGAAGAGCGAAGACTCGTTCTCCGTGCCGCCGTTTTCTGATGCCTACTCCAGCATTATTTCCTAAGAGGCTGATTGCCGCCACTCTCAGAAACTTCGGATTAGAATGGATGATTGGTAAGCCATCCTCTCAGATGGTCGGTGAACGTTTGCTCAGGCGACCGCATAGCTTGATTCAGTTGCTCGCTGCTCTACGCGAGTCAGTGGGGAATCGGTTTGACCACCTGCATTTTCGCGGGGAGTTCGTTGGATTCTCAATCGTTGGTCATGGCTCAGCTCTGACTGCTCCTTATTTCTCTGTTCATTATGTTCTTGTTTTGACAACCGAGATAAGCGAGCAGTCTACCATTGGGATTCCCATGGAATTCACTTTCGACTCCGTCACGACTCGTCGCGTTGGCGGCTCTCTCGCTCCATAGGAAACGATTCAGCGAGTATTTAAGGTTCACGAAATCAGAAATTTTCCAGAACCACTTCCATCTTCCGATGGCGGACCGTGGAAATCCCAACGGGGGCCTATCGCAGGAGGATGCTCCGGTACAGAAAATCCGACGCGTTCAGATCTCTCGGCATCGATTCATACGAATTCTGTCTCCCGACGGTCAAATCACGCTCATTACAGAACGTCGTTCATTAAGGCGGATTTTCCGCCAGGAATCGGATGTGGTTCTCTGAAAAAAACTATTGGACTCGGTCGAATGTGCCATATCCCGGGATTTCCTTCTGTCTATGGCCCGTCAAGAAAAGTATCAGGGGAAGATTCTGACTTATAGGAAGAAATGAGCTTGCGCAACGAATAGACTGGCCATGACGCGCGAACGTCAAGCTCAATGCGAGCCGCCGCAACACAGTCGGAGATACAGAAATACTTTCAGAGACGTTTTCGCCCATGAACGAAGATATGGTATCGGTGCATTCCGGCTCAGTACCTGCAGTGCTGCGAGAAACGTCTAGAGCGAGCCGCTCGGCTCCGACATGCCGCGTTCGACATACCTAGGAGGCGAACCGGCGCAGCTCAGCCGGTATCGGGATTTTCCGTATGGTCCGAAGCAGAGGGAGCGGGGCTTCCATTCCAAGTTTTCGGAGAGGCAGATTGCCGGGATCATTACCATCTCCTACATCTTTCATTCGATGGCGTGACCTCATGTTTGCAGCCAGAAGTCGATCGAGGCGATCACAAGCCTTTCTGGGTACAAAATATTCGAACTATTCCCGTGTACGAAAACTATAAAATCGAGGTGCTCTCCTCGGACGAGATTGACCTCGGTCGAGTTTCGGACTTCCAACGTTCATTGGGCTCCCGGACACATTTTCCAGACACCGAAGCTCGATCATAATCTATACGAGTTTCCATCGTGACGGAGACCTCTTTCTTTGAAGTACTTATTCATTTGGGCGTGAAGACACAGATCGCACCGGGAGCCGGCTTACGCTTATTCTCTCGGCTGTCCGCTCAATGGAAGCGACCAGCATTATCGTAGGTCTTCCGAGACGCACAACAGGATCTACAAATCAAGGTTGCGGAAAGATACTGTGCGAACGGAAAATGGAACACGGCGGGGGACATGTACGACGCAGCAGCGCGATCCGGGCCCTCAAGTATGAATCCCCCCGTACTCGGCCGTTCCCAATATTCGGTTTCGTCATCTGGCAGTGGCTTAGAGACCGTTGCAGCTACTTCGATCTTGACCTACTCCGCTTCGATATGATGATCATGACGGGGAGACCTTCGGTCCGAATAATCTCCAGCCGGGACAACAATGTTCCATGAGGAACGAGAAAAACTTTCTAGGGCTCTCTCCGCGCTGCTCATTCTACCCTACAAGCGACAGGGACACCGCAGAGTTTTGAAATTCGATCTGCTTTGCGATGGAAGGGCACTCTTCAACAACCGGCATCTCCGGGTCACCGAGCGGTATGAGCGAGCCCCATGAACTTCTATACGAGGACCAAACGAGCGCCTTCGATGGGAATTATTGCGAGCATGCCTTCTCCGCATAGAATCGAGGTGTTTGCTCAGAAAATCAGTTAACGGGAAATCATAAGGCCTTGTATCCTGGCGGGACTATCGCCGAAAATATCCGCTTGGGCAATCCAGGAGTCATCGTAAACATGATCGACGGCATTCTTTTTTAAGAAAGGAAAATAAAAATAGCCTAGGCAACATAACGGACAGTCAGACTTTGCCCTGTCGCGTTGATTCGATAACTGCATCATATTCTATCATTCTATCAACTCTCCCATGTAGCACTCACTTGTTGCCATCGGATTTCGATGCTGGAGAACTTTTCCTGAACCTCACGAAGTCCTCGGTTTTTGGAGACATCTCTTTATCCAGGAATTTCACTCGCCTCGTAATTAGGGATCCTTCGTCGTCTTCGCTCCTCTCGCTGGAAAATTCATGGAAGAGATTCGTATTTCAGATTGAAGCCCGTAGAAAAGAATCCCCCATCATACCATCGTCTAATGATTTCTGTTCCTATATTTCCCTACAACTCCGTTTCCGTGCTCTGTCGCCCCTCCGTAGCGAACGACTGAGTCGCAAATACTTTCGGCAAGACTAATGAGCTGAAGACTGTCAAGAAAGATCAAAACGCCAGATTCCGCGTTCACTTCCATCTTGCTGTGCAACATAGACTCCAGAACTACAATTCTCCTGACTGTGGAGATTGACCGATCGATCGATCGTTGAACACCATATACGATGCTGAACTCACTCGAAACAAGCCATCTCTCTGTTTTGCAAAGCTCTCGTCTCTACAGGCGACAGATGATTCCAGGTCTTTACGGTCATCTAACGATCTGTACTTGACGACGCGCACTATATCACCGAATTCAACCACTTCTCGCTCTCGAATTTTAGGCTCAATGTTTCAGAGAGAGAGGGCGTGGCGTTGCTCGAAATCTCCATCACTGACATTCACGGAGAGCTGCTGTCACCGAGTCAAAGTCTCTTATTGCCTAAGTCACATTAGCGTTCAGGTGCTCTCTATATCTGCCGAAACTCCCGTAGGCAGTTTCAACCGCCGATCTCGTTCTAGATGTGAGCTCGCGCGGCTTTCGAACACGATTCATTCCACTAATCAGTAATTCTAGCTTGGTAGCGCTCCGAGTGTAGAGCACAACTTAAAGGCGGCTCTGGGAGAGTCTCATCTCAAGTTTTTGGGGACCTCGACGAAACCAACATTGTTAGCGCAGGCAGATCCCGAACGATCCGATCTCTTTAGGAACGCACTTGCCGGCTTAAATCCTTTCGTGAGACGTAAACCTATCACCCTGCAAGAACTGGATCGAGATGCACGGGTGTAGCGTTCCCTGTGCGCAATGTCCAAAGATCGCCCCAGCTTTGGGGAGAGGATTCCGCATGTAGTCTCACCTATCCTCGAGAGTCGCCGAGGGCACGAGAGGAGCACGACAATTTCTAGGACCCGACCTTCTCCCTTGACCATGATCCTCGGAATGAAGCCCTGGACGAGATTAGCCCCCTCATCACACCCTGTGCTCGCTTTCGGGTCCCAATCATCTCCCATTCCGCTCCGGAAAAAGTGCTCTCCGATAGTATTATACGTATATAGCCCAAGATTTCAGCCCAGAGTACAGCGCAATCGCGTCATGAGCATCGATGTATACCTCGAGGAATCATGTTCTCTCTATTCCGACTCGGAAAATGATTGAGAAATCTCCAACGCTTCTCTGTAAGCCCGCTTCCGACATTGACGATAATGGGGACGACCACGTAACGCTGTCCTTCAAGATTAGTGTTGCGAATCTGCACTTGAAGCTGCAGTGTCCCGTCACGGTCGCCGTCTGCGTCATCGCTTTCGAGCATCACCGAAATATCTAATGCGACCTAGTCGATGCGATCTCGGGATATTCGTCTTGCGAGGGACCATTCGATCGCGGGCCCTCCCGGACAATGACGGGACATTGACACCCGAAGGCCTGGGCATTCTGGTTGCATGAAGCAGGAGCAAAGAGCAAAGGCTGACGCTCTTTGTACCGGACCTTCCCGGCGCTTTGAGCACCGAGATCCAAGCAATGATCCAGCTCCAACAAAACGACGTGTGCGCAGTACGCTTAGGAAAAGAGAATATGCATCGCTGCTCACCTTTCGTCCTTCCAGGCATCTTCTGAAGAGTCAGTTTCGATACTCTTCACGAAGCACTCACTTTCGGGCGGGTGTGTCAGGGAACCGACCATAGTGGGAGCTCTCGTTCTCGATTGACGCGGTCAGCAAGGTGTCCCAGTACAGCGGATCGATGGAGACTTCCACGATCTCTTCGCAATGGACATGTCTTGGCAAAAGAGCTCCAGTTTCAAATTATTCGCAGCCCGCAGTGACGGAGTATGTTCCGATGAGACTTTACTTGGTGTCATTCTCATTGTCTTGGATCACTGGTAGAACTTTCCCCTTTAAACGATCAGATTCAGTGAGGGTAGATCAAGCAGACGCCATTATCCGTTACGGATTACGGCCCATCATTATGGCTCAAGATTCCATCAATCAAGTCGATGTAGGAAACCAGAGCTCGAGATCCCCCGATAAACCACCCTCTACGGGGAAAGGCTCAGAGACTGTCACAGTATCAGATGAAATCCTCCTCCGAATTCCCGAGACGGAGAAATACGCTACACAGCCTCTTCAATCGTTCGTCTACGCCGTGCCAGAGAAGAGCTTCGTCGTTGTCGATCACCCCTCCTTCTCTAACAGAGGAACTTCTTCAATTCCACAGGCAGAATTGTTTCTGCCGAATTCCCCGTCCCTATCTGGTTCTGATCTTTCGAATGATCCCGATCAGTGGGAGATAATCGCCGTAGCTGGTTGGAGCAACTTTGCGATCGATGAGTAACAGAAACCCATCGCTCTCTTCCGATAACAGTCAGTGATTCCAGTTAAGGTTTGATAGTTCTATCCAGCAGAGACGGTGCTTCTTATCTCTACACGATTCGATCGGCCCGGTTCATTCCCTCATCCGCCCGGTAGAGCGCGGAGACCCGCGGAATCACTAGTTGGAAGGAAAGGAAGAGCCGGAAGACGCCGCCGATAGTCTTCCTTATCGCGATTTCGTGGACGTCGCGTCGATGCAGTTTGTTTACCGGGGGAGGCACGCGGAGAATCGCGTGGAAACAATCCGAGAAAAAATTACGTCAGTGATTTTCCAGTCCAACATCGCGTGGTATGCTGATAGGCTCCACCGAACTCGTCATACTACGTCTCTCCCAGCTGCGCTGCCTGGAACGCTGTTATCACTTTCGACGTCCGTAATCAGTCGAAACTTCATTGACGAAACGGGCACTATCGTATGACGTAGGACATAGGAGATGTTTTTCGTCGAGATCGTGGCGATTCTCTTGATGGGAGCTCCTCTTTGCCTAATGTAGGTACTGGTGACGTGAGAGCGGCTCCGAGTTCTAGGAGCGTACAATCCTAGCATGCTCGGTTGTCTGCGTCACGAAAGAAGCTCGCTCCCGTTGATCAATAACTCCGCGAGATTGACGATCGCTTTCCATATAATGGCTTATCCTCGGCGTCAAACAACACATCCCGCCGAACGTCCCAGATATCTAGGATGCTCGTTCCATAAAAAAAATGTCAACCCCTTAGAAAGCCGCAGAGGGTTGAAGACACGAATCATCGTTTCCGGTTGACTCTAAGCCGACATTCGTGCGCTCGTATTCTTCAGCGACGACGAACATCGCGCGGAATCATATTCCTTCATTGTTCCGCGCTGATCTGCTCAGAGATTGTGGGTCTCTATGATAGTGATCATTAGTATCATTAGGCCTCGACTGCCGTCGCGGTTCGCGACCGTGACCGCGATTTTTCCTTGCTCGGCGGGGCGTTTCCCTGCCGAATGTCTCTGGGCGCCTGAAAATGCTGCGAATTTCCGGCTAAAAAGCCGCGAAGAAAGTCGAGCCCTAGTAATCGTTGAAAAACGGAAAGTCTTAATGAAATTCACGAGAGTAATGTTATTGGTCTCATCAAGGAAGGGTGAGACCACGGAGCGAGGAGTATGGCCATTTGTCGAACGACGCGCTCTTCATCCTCGCGGGAGACAGCCGGAATATGGATGATCACGACATCCCGATAACGGATGATTTTCGCGGATATTCGAAGGGAAGGCAACGGCAAGGTAGGACGCTCCGCTGAGCACCCACATCATGAATAGCTCCTTCCATGGACAAGAGCGTCAGAGCTTCAGGGAGAAATGGCTTAACCGCGTTAGGGTCCTTTGCGGGGATTTCCGCCCTTAAGACGCTACATACACTTCCCGGATGGCGATGCCACCGACGCTGACTTTTCGCATAGAGAGAGCTCCCAGGATTCCGGAGCGGGCTATCTTCTAAAGACAAATAATATGGGTCTCTCTACTTACGTGATTCTAGAAGGATACAAAAGAAATCTAGCCCTACTAAGGGAGCGCAAGACCGTTATTTGCGGCACTCATGGATAGGTTCTCAACGGGCGAGCGCGGGAGTAGAGGCTAGTCCCCAACCGCACGGGGAGGAAGAGGGGCCCCAGCTCTCGAGTCCTGAGATCCACGACTCCCCCCGTCAAGGCTGTCGCAGAGCAATCGGCATTATGAAGAACGAGAAGGCACTTCCCGACCCTTGTTCGGCAAAAAATGAGTCTCTCTGGCGATCAGGCCCTCAGCCCGCAGTCGAGTCGGTTACTGACGATACATGACCATTGCGCTAAGGAGAGATAGAGCGGCCGATTCAAGGCGGAGCAAGCTCGATGAGCGAAATCGCGATCACTACTATGCTGGGAGATGTGGAGGAAGTCGGACGCTGAGAAATATTTATCGTCGAAAGATTGGCATGACGAGCTCAGCTCTTCGCTTCTATTTTATTCCTCTAGCCGACAGTCCCGAAATGTGAACAACATTGGTGACGACGATATCCGAAGGTGTCCGACATTTTGTGATGTTCGGATACAATCGACTCCCGAAATTCCGAACCCCTGATGATCCGCGAACCTCCCCTATTTGCTATTTGCCTCAATACTTTGCGGTGAGGGTGGTGGAAATTCGTTTCTAGAGGCTCGCTACCTTGTTCCACAGGTGAACCATGATGAGGGGAACTCGGGGGCGGTTTCCGGAAGGTATACATATGGTGTCTCCTGGACATTCGGAAATCTCGCTAGTGTGCTCGTTTGAGCGGCATCGATGCACGGTATCTTCAATATCATCGATATCTACGGGCCGACTAGCTCTCAATTTTTCCGCGGATTTCTGCCCGTGGAGGTCTTGGCTTGCTGAGTGATTGTGCTCCATCGGAATTGCGTGCAGGGAAGAGCCTTACGCCGCAGATTCAACTATACTCCGATGCTCATCCATACAGTCCCAAACTGCCAACCGAGCGGCCCGTTTGTGGTGTTCCTCGAGCTCGTCGATCCAAGTAACCATCTGGAAATGATGGAATCGAGGGCGGAGACTTATGCGGCACAGCCATTACTTATACCCAGGATAGGAGCCGCCGCCGTGGCTCTGAAGCGAGGGTCAAGAAAGCTCCCTCATGGCACCAGCTCTAGGTCCTGCGAGCCGCAGACCTGCGAGCGCTCAGAATTCTAAAAGCAGCGGACGGAAAGCCACAAGACTGAATGCCCCCTTCGCGGGGAAGGGTCTGTGTGATCTAGTGACGCTAAGTGACGTGTGTTCGGGAGAATCCTGAACGCCGTGCGACGATAGGAGTAAGACGACTTGGACGAAGCACTCACCAGCATACTTCCGTCGTCGTTATTGTTCTTGCAGATGAACTTCAGACATTCAACGACTTCCAAGCCGCCGAAAGCTTCCTGAACTGTGTTCGTGAACTCGGTGGCGAACTGTTAGAGATTCCCCGATGAGTCTCGACCTCACCCACAAATGTCATGGTTTTCCCATCCGAATCTTGGATAACCGGTTCGAACCAACTCACCTCGCCCGGTAGACGTCCCAGGAAACAAGACACAAGCACTCGAAGAGGCTCCAGACTGTAAACTAAACGCATATATTCTCGAATTCGATTCTTTCGGGCACGGGCACTGGCGGATGGGGCGCTGAAGACGAGCTGTGCGGAGGTGCTCCATAGTTGGGTTACCCTTCATTTTGACGCCCGCGCCGGCAGGCTTCAGGGTCGGCCTTCCTCATCATTCATCGGTCTACTGGAGGAAAAACCCGAGGGGGGTCGAACATGCACTCACCGCAGAAGTTGAAATCCGGTATATTATTCTCCTTGTACTCCAAGTCTTGGCTGACAGTCCGATGCTGTGCAATCACCGAGAGCCCAATGAGGACGCTGGGAGTCAATTTCATCTCGACCAGAATGGCGTGAATGCACGGAGTCTTTTCGGCGTAAGAGCGGGTGCTTTTAAAAGTGAAGTTCCTGCTCTCAAGTATCCACCAAAAAACTACCCGACACATTTTGAGCTAAATTACTTAATTAGGATGTTTACTCTTGCTGAACAATCTGGATGCCGCAGCTCCTGTCGATGTGACGGCCTCATGGTTGAACGAGGGTAGGGCAAAATTTGTTTCAGAAACATACCTGTTGCAGTAATCTCTCCAAGTCACAAAAAAAATCCGAGTCGAATCGGGACGTCCTCGGCTGCGTCAAGTTTCGTAACAGTCAGGAATTACTTCTTCACGTTCCAGCGAGGTTCGCTTGATCGCCGACCCCGATTGCCGAGATCAAAAATCAGGAGGTATAAAATCGGAAATATCCATCTCATGTTTTTCATGGAACTTTTTCTTCCTGAATCAATCGGACACTTGTATCCGGCTCCACTCAAATTCCCATCGCTCAAGGACTCTCTTCGAAATTCGTACAGACTAAGAACCACTCAAAAAGAATCGAAGCCACGGAGGTAACCGCACCATGAACCGAAAGATCAGATTGCGAGGAGGAGCCCTTCTCTCGCTTGTCCGGGCCTTATGGAGGCAACTCTACGCATCCTGCGATTTATTGTGAGAGTTCGTCTCCCTCAAGTTTTTGCCGTCCCATGGTTGCGCTTCCTCAGTCCTCAGTTCCCCATGATGAGTCGACCGCGCCGATTTGACGATGGTTGGAGCTTCTCGCAGCAAATGGGTTCCCTCTCTGCGATCGTCAATTTCGCAACCGAATCGATCGCCGTCTCCGTGATATCCCCAGCCGTCCAGGACTCGCCTGTTTTCTCTTTGTTCCTGAGCCCCACGGCCGTCGCCGTCCCTCTGCCGGGAACCTTGAACGAGAGACGACAAGGACGTGTATCGCCCGTCCGGGATGATTGATCTCTCGACTGAGTTTATTATTTATTAAAAACTCAGCGATCCTCCTTTCGCCTTTCCTCTCGCTGACTGAAAACTTCGGGAGGCCTTCGATCCCTGCAAGAGAGCGGAGCGAGTTCACGAGCTTTCAAAGAGGCACCCAGGTAAAAATTTTCCCGGAGAGAAAGTCCAGGGGAGCGCTTGTCGTTTGGGCAAACTTGCGGCAAGCCGTACGGAGGCTGTCCCGAATTAGTGACGATTCTTCCGTGATCTCCACCATGGGATCGATGCTGAGCTGTCATTCTAGAAGTTGCTTGATGATGCAGAGGAAGCGTATTAGTGTAGTCAGATCCATTCATGGCGATAACAATAGTGTCTCCACGGGTCTCCCTCAACCTTCTTGATGAATCCTTCTTCTGATGCTCGAATCGCACTTGATGACATTGAGGAGCCTAGCACGAAGACAGATAATTTTGAGCATGCGGATGTGTTCCGTCGGCGAATGGATATCATCTAAGATAATTGCACTCGGGAAACGCAGCTTTGACTCGCGCTCGCTCGCATCTGAGATGTCGCTATCGGCGTCTCAGATTCAGCCCTTCTCTCAGAGGTTTGACGCCGGGCAAAGGGGGCTCCGTTCGAACCCCGAACCCGGGTCTGAGCTCCTAGCTAATCTCGATTCATCCAGAATCCAGTTCAACACGCGGGAGGGTCACCAATTCGGCCAGGGCAGTGAGAATCTCCGGAATTCTCGAGGCGCGATATGTTTCGACGAGGATCGAGGCGAGAACTTAGGACGGGGATGATCCGGGAAGACTGCGCTGAGTTTGCATCGCGTAATCGGACACCCCAGGAGTCCACCGAATTCCTAGGAGAGCTGAGAGCTGAGCTCTGCATGCCGACGTGTGGTTGAGACCAAGCGCTCTTTCAGCGGGTCGCCGACATGCGCTGCCCTACAAACAATGGGATCATGCCGTCAAAGGATGTTGCTCGCCAGGCTCCTATCGATATCGCTCGAGGAGAAACTGGCGAAGCTCTCCACGAGAGTATCCACTTTTGCCATAGAGGAACCCTTTTAGTTTCTGGAGGCGGGGGAGCTCGTACTGCAACTTGGAGCCAATAGCCCCGCCGGCAAATTCGTGATTTTTGAAATTGTTGTCTCGCTGGTGCCCTTCTCGCTGTGGTCACAAAGTGGTCGCATTAGCGCGGATCCCATTTCCTTAAATCGCGGCTTAGCAGGTTAGAGAAGAGAAAGGATGATTTACCAAACAATAGGAACACTCGTCGAATCAGACACTGGTCCCAATAGCTCTCAATTTCAAACAGATGAGTGCTTGCTCCGAACGGCGACGTGTCTCAGTGCTATTCGCGCCTCAGAGGACCTCTTGAACATCCGGTTCATTCCGTCATACACGCGACGCTCAGGATGTCGGAGTTGAGCCCTTGCATCTATGACGGCCTAGAGTTGATGCTTGCGGATACGAATCAGACGAACTCTATGGACACGCCCAAGTAAATAGCCCGGGTTCCCATATTCCTCCTGGTGACGAAGTTCACGATTCCACTGTCGTCCTTAGCGTATCGGAAGTATTAGCAGTCTTCTGATTATTCTCAAGAATATCTCATCTCAGCCCGACGCGTCGGCGATATCTTCGGGAGCACGTGGACATTTCGCGAGAATCTACGATTCTAGGTGGATCGACGATGCGGACTCGACGGTCATCTTCGGGATGGCTCTAGTAGCTGCCCTAGCGGTCGGGCTCGGGGCGTATATCGCATTCGTGATACGAGTGACTTTCCGAGAAAATCGTCGACGGAAAAGGTAAAAAGGCCAGAATGAATCGAACGAAGCATGAATTGTGGACACTTATGTACTGATGGATACGAGGCTCCAAAATCATTCGGTTCGATAATACATGTCGATGGCACCGGAGTCCAAATAAAGGCATGGATTTTCTCCTCGCAGAATATTAAATTCGAAAATTCTGCCCCAATCGCTCCATACTTGCGGCGAAACTAGGATCGAGTCCATCCTGCCCCAAGGGCTTGACACGCTTCGAGTTTTTCGTTCCAGGCTCGAAGAAATCCTCAAGAATGTTCCAGTCAGTTTCAACGCAACGAATCAAAGCCTCGCGGGAGTCCTGGATGTCCGGAGCCGCCCCGACGACGACTCTGGCTGTGACCCCGGGCTCGTCGCCGCCCACAATGCTGGCCTCCACCCGAATATAGTTTCCAGCACCGATCGCGGTGCCGCCCATGTGTCAAGCTACAGCGCCGCGTACGACGCCAAATACAAAGCCGCTTGTAATCAAGCCTACCATGCGGATGAATACGAGTCGGGGAGTGACACCGAGCGGTTTTGAGCTCAACAAGAGGTTCGGTTCAACAGTCCTCCTCGCAATTCGAATAGATTTTCTTCCCCGAGGCCATGCGGGCGCCCTCAATCTTCCGGCGCAGAGGCGACCCGAAAACTGAGGGAGGTGCATCAGATAAACATGAATTGTGAGGAGAAATAAACTCGGCTCGCAGTGATGATTCAAGTTTTGTAAGATTATACCCTGCTGGCATCAACCTTGTCCTCTTTTGTCGAACTGATTTGTATCGTACCGTACAGGCTCATCGAATATGATGCGGAGGGGTATTGAGCGGCCTGCTCGATCCGAGCTCTTATTGTCCGAGTTTCGAGGAGAGAGGGGCTGCCGTCTTTGTGTGTATTTTTGTGCAATAAATGCTCGATATCTACATCGTACTATCCACTGATGGGTGCTATTCAAAATTAGCGAAACCATTTCCTCCGCGTCGCTGCTTGAAGAAAGAAATCTCCTCGAATAAGAATGTAATAAAAGTCTGCGTGTGATTGAATCTCCATGCTGTCGTCGACGGACACGACGAGGGAATGATTAAGTTTCAATCTAGCGCTGCCTTCAGCGGGAACAGAGCGATCTCGTATGGTCACCGAAGGAGAGAGTGATTCGATATCCGCCATGTGTGTCGTTCTTTTTTCCCCTTGAAGCGAGCCTCCGCGAGTGCAGGCTCCCGGACGGCTACATTTGTGTCGGATCGAGAGATTTGCGCAGAGCAAAAACCCGTCATTGGTCTATACGATAGGCTGCGTCGGCTGCGGGGAGAAGAGAACCTAACGGGATAAAGTCAGACAGCCCGGACTGCGGGTAACACTCCGGCCCGAAGGATACGGGGGGAACCAGGGTCCTACAAGAGGCCATGAGAGAAAGTTGGGGCCCGTGCAGTGCAGCTCCGTCCTGCAAACGGAAAAGCGAGGGCTCCGAGGGGAAGATGGAAGCTCGAGGGCAGGGGCACCGAGCAGGAATGTAATGCTATCGCCTCTGCAGATGACCCCAGCCGTCGCGGGATGAGTGAAGCCATTTAGATAACGTTCACTTGCGACCGGAAAAAACTAATCCTACCACAAACAGATTGGCGAGGAGGAACCTCCTCGATCTCTCGCTCATTCGATCGTTGCTCCTCCTCATACCTCCCCTGGACAACTCAATGGAGAGGACTTCGGACGTATCACTTCTGTATCATGTTTTCGTTCGAGGCCGTACAGGACATTGAGATGGAGAAAATACTTAGAAACGACCACAGAACATCCGACTATTTTGATGTCTGTAGCATGAAAACTTTTTTTGTCGACCCACGCGCCAGGTGGATGTTCAAGGTGTTATTTCACGGGAAGAGCTGTTGGGAGGATTGGTTCCTCGAACGGTCCCAGACAGCCATCTGGAAAGATCGCAGCTTCCCGTGATGGGAAGGTTGCTGAGTAGAGCGCTCTGGGAGAGAAATTTCTCTCTTGCCGCGGAAATCGACGGGTTGAGCACACACTGAAATGCCCCTCCCAAACGACGCTCTAACCCATTAGGGATGTAATCCTCGGAGATCCAGGAATAATCCGTTTCAGGGACCAATTTAGCATGTTTAGCTCACGCCTACAATTTTCAACCCTCAAACTGAGGGATTACCTGCAGTCGGCAATCGCAGTCTCATCACGGAAAAACTCGGTTCGGATGCGACCTGGGGTAAACAATCAATCTTTCGGAATCAATATGGATCTGGTCTGCTTCGTCGTATCGGGCGAATATGATTCCTTCCGTAGCATCAAGTTCTTTCTTGTCTTTGCTACACAATACAAGCTTTGTCGAGGCTGTTCCGTGAGCATTGAGAGATGCCTATATAGAACGAAGAGAAGTGATCCCTGGGAGATTCCTTGGAAGCGAAAGACAAGGAGGCAAGGTCGGAACGCAAAAGTGGAGCCACTGACATCGCAGGGGACGAAAAAAGAACGGTCAATAGAGAGTCTTGGAATAAAGGAGTGGAGGAAGATTGAAGAGAATAGCAGGCATTTCAGAAACGACCGGTTTCTGCGCGCCCAGATGAGATCTCCATCAATCGAACTTGTCCCTGCTTCCCTTAGTCTCTTCGTTCGACAGCGTTTGAAGTTGCTTTGCGCTTTTCCGATGTTCCCCTCTCATTCTCGGAAGTGCCATTTGAGAGCAAGCATTTGAGAGACTTGTGACAATGGAGAATATCGAAGATGACTTCGAAAGGAAGGAATGCAATTGGAATGGGAAGGGACAAGAAGGGGGAACAGAATGGAAAGGAATGGAGGGAACGACTCGCAACAGTAAGAGAGACAATATGATAAAATCTCCAGAGACAGATTCGAATCCAGATGGAGGAGCAGACTCCCTTGGACCCTAGAGTGGTCCTGTTGGGGTCGCGCTGGAAGTCCTTCAGACTGGAGCCAAATCGGAGCTCGTCCGAGAAATGGCGCGAGAATTACGCGCGACCGGAAGTCGCTCCGTCATCCCAATGAACGGCTATGATTGAATCGAGCAATCTCGAGGAGTTCACCACCCAGAGTGTTTCAACGAGTTATCGTTGAGGACCATGAGATAGGATCGCCAATCATGGGAATGTAAATTATCATGGAAGAAAGGGACCGAAAAGCCTCTTCCAATGAATGGAGCTCGCGTGAGGACGCAATTTCGTGTTGTAGAGCTGCGAAAGACGTCCACTAGACTTCACGGGTCGACCCCGAGAATTTAGGAGTGCTCGCCGAACTTTCTATCAGCGGTCAGAAGCAGCAAGCTATATGTATGTAAGTGGGGAGCTGACTGCATAAGTAGTCGGACGGTTGGTTGGTCGTTCGTCAGCTGTCCAATTCGTTCCTCTTCCTACCCGTCGAGCCTCGGGGGGCTCGTAGGCGAAAGCGGCGTGAAGCCCTTATCACGAGCAAATATTTTAATGTGTTCCACTCTAATGGCGAACGGCACGGCTGGGTTGGGGAAACTACCAGTCTGTCAACGTTCGGATAATCCGTAGTGGACATCGGTTGCTTATATTTAACAAAGTTTCCCGTCGCTACGCGACCCGGCGTCGTTGTCTGGCGAAGAGTTGTTCTCTTTAACGAGCCCGGGCTCGGGGGCCGAATGTGCGCGGATGACCGTGGTGGAACTGAGCGAACTTTCGCAATTTTCTCCCCTCCGAGATGAATGAGTTCGAATCGAGGCTTGAAACCCGGGATAAGGAGGATATTAAGCAAGGCGAAGCTCAGACTCCGAAGGTCCCAATCGGGACACCGTCGAACTCCTTCCCGTCCAAGAGTTTGAACGTCTTGCGACGGTTCGGGTACGAAGAAACCGAGGAGAAACTATTATTGGTGCTCGCAGGGACGAATACTGGAGTCTACGTGAGTCGTGCTTCGCATCTCCACAGCGCCCTGGATCGATCGGCGTCACCCTTGATTCAACGGAGGTAAGACCCATCCGGGTACGAGCTGCGCTATCAGCGGAAGACTGAAAAACGGAAGATGGGACGGAAGCCATACGCAGCGTGAATGAGACACATCCGTGTGCTACCCAATAGGCTGAGACCTGGGCGTCGCGTTACCACTCACGAAGAAGGAGAGGGAGCCAAGTCACCGGAGAGGGAGCCAAGACTAAACGGGATTACCTGAATCGTTCTCCCATGAGCATCTCTCCTCCAACTGAAGTATTTCGTCAGGAATTCCCAATTAATCGAACGGCTGAGTAAGCTTCAGTCAAATCCAGTCTGCTCTTCATGCGGCTGCAAGCTATCCGAGCCGAGAGCTTCATGCGGACAACTCCATGATGTCCGCATGAATCTGCCCATGTAGAGTTATCGTCTACGCGGGAGATTCAAGACAAGCTTGTAATCAGGCTTCCGAACAGGAGCTCGAGACGCTTCTCGTCAGAAACGTCTCCGGAGCCAATGCCGGGGTGCCGGAAGTCATTGCTGAGGGGAGGGGCAGAGGGGGAAAAACGAAAGTTGCAATCGGAGTCATCCGAATCCACTATGTCCTTCCCACGCTCCCCTATCTTATCGCTCGCGGATAGCAGGCTGGGATCAGCAGGTAAAGCAATGTCGTGAGCGAAGGAGTAGAGACTGGTTGTATCATAGTGCGCGCTTTCTGCTCAGGGCGGCTGGTATTCCGCGTGTTCAGGCCATGCGGCTCTTGAGGCAATTTTTATTCACTCCCTTGAACGTAGGAGGACTGAATTATTGTCTGATTTCCGTGAAGACTTTCCGATCTCCACGTGGGATCGGAGCTGGAACATCCGGACCCAGCGTCGGGAGCAGATGGGTGGAGGGAAGAGAGACTTAGCTCCGCGGGGGGCGGGGAATCATTTTCTTGCCACTTTCTTCGGCTCCGGCGCTCTTCAAGGAACACTCTCCGTGTTCTGTCGCCATATGCGCCTGGATTGTGGAACCTGGAGCCTTCCATAGGATTGTGTGACCAGGTGGAGAGAGCTGCGCCGGAGAGCGATGTCGGTCTTGAGAGGACAGACCCTTATTCGGGGGGAGAAATTGATTCAGGGTTGAATCGGGAGATGGACTCGCTTTTTTTCCCCAGCGTAAATCCCACGGAGAATCCCATTCAAGGCAGGAACGCCGTGTTCTGTTTGGAATTCTCGTTCGAACATAAAACGGAGATTAGCGTCCCTTGGAATCAGGCATTCGCGGACTCGAGCGAGAACCGTTCCGACATCTGGAAAAATGATACTGCAGGACGGGATTCTCATTACCGACCGTCGCTTGGCTCAGGGCTTGGAATCCCGAGGTCGCCAGTCCTCCTTGCTCAAGCCTTATCTGCAGAACGGTGTCGAAGCCGGCTGCCGGAAGTCCCAAACAATCACTGACACCTATCTCGGAAAGGTCAAGAATGAAAACTATGATACTCAATGGACAATCATACGGAAGTCGCTCGAAATTATGACCGGTGACTGGCTCGCTGTATACCGCCATGGAATCAGCTGTATCGACATTGATGGATCAATGACTCTGACGACCAGCATCTGCCCTATCTCTACTTTCAGCGCATGCCCGACAACCTCAACGGACTAGAATAGAGAGGCTGGCCAGCAAACCGCCGAAGAAGTGCCTGCGGTACTCGCTCCGATGAAGGTTGGTCGGCGGACCTTTTCTCTTCCCCTGCTCGCATGTCTACATTGGTCGTAGCCGCGGGCTCCGTTCCTAGTAATTACATACTAAAATAACAGCATTATATAATGGCTAGTCATTATTTTTATACATCAGACCACCGCACGAACACAGCCGGCGGCACTCGACGCGGAAGATCCTATATCTCGTTGTTCAGCCGGTGGATCCGGGCGGAACATATCTCACCTGAACATCTTCAACCGACAGATGGAGAGAGGGAGACTGCCATCAGGGAATTGACTGCAGGGAGGAATCTCCCCACTCGGCCGAGGGAAGAGTCCGGATCCAGTGGAAATTATTCAAAAGAGGGAAAAAAAGATTTCGACCGAGCTCTTCGGAAATTGTAGGCAACAATCAATCAAACAGAGTGGAAAGTAGAATCTCAAGCCGCATCCAATGTTTTTCGCGGCGAAACGTGCCCGTGTCACTAAATACCGAGGAATGCTCGAGAAACGACGACGGGCCGAAACGAGCCCAGAGTGGACGTGGGACAGGACTTCGATACCAGCCGAGAAATCGCCCAAGGACGAGGTCGAGCACAGTCGCTCGAAAAATGAAGTTTGTGTTATTCTGCCTCGTTTTTTCGGCCGCCCTGGTTCAGGTATGTGCTAGGGCCGCTCAACCGTGCAGCTGCTCGAATAAGAGCAGGGGCTTGGCTCACAGTCACAATGGTACGCGCCGTGGTTGTAGCCGGCACCTGGAACTCCTGCGGCTTCAAATTGGCCGAGTGACAGCACCGGGGAAAATGCACTTCAAGTACAAACTGCGGCTCACCAGGCCCTTGTATCAGCCTCGCGTCGACTTCACCATTTCCAAAGGAGTTAAGCTGCCGTGCTTCGGTGGCTATGGATCATGCTCGTACAGCCTGTGTGGCTTCAACAAGTACCCCATGGAGGAAAGAATATGCTCCGGCTGGGGCTGCGAGTGCCCCGTACAAAGTGGCATCTACAACAGTGGCCTGATGTCGGTCGACCTGCCGGATCTGAGAGGCCTAGGACGCGGGGCCTACGGTCCCGTCGAAGTGGAGGTCAGATTCCGCGAAAGGAATAGAGTCATCCATTGTACGAAGTTCAAAATCCTCGTCCATCGTCCTCGAAAGAGGAGTACGAGCCTGCGAGAGATCGAGTTCCAGTCCCGGGATCTGACCGATGTCGTTTTTATCTGAATTCGACTCTAATCCGATGTCCGAGAGAATTGTTCTCCGAGATCGGGGACTGTGGATGAGTTCGAAGCAGTCGGATATCTTGTGTCGAAATGTTAGCAGGACAACGATCGAAACTGATCTCGTGAAATAGAATTTTTGTGGAAATTATCGAGAAACTGAGGATTGTGCACAAACGCTTTTGGTGGCGTTGGCAGTGAGTATGTATGTAGAATGGATATGCATAAACTAGAAAACATCGGTACACCGAGAATTGACGCGAAGAAGGAAATAAAATGGTCTCTCTGAAAACAGCGATGCCTTCGGATTCCTCATTCTTGCGTCGCGTCGGCTCATCCCGCGCCGAATTCGCCTTAAGCGTCGGAGAGCTGAGCTCTTCCGATGCGAAGGCGGCTCGAGCTCAAATTCGTTTCAGCTGGCGCTGAATCGTCCAGTGGGATCCGGAGAAATGTTCGCCAAGACCCACTCTTGTCCTGGGCCGTCTTCCAACGTCCGGATTGAGAGTCCAAGAATCGGCCCAAAGTATCGATTGTAAGTTGTGATCCGGCACGACACCAATGCGCGTAGCGACGACGCGACGTAAGCAGGTACCCACCGCGAGCATACGTGCACCGTCTGATGTTTGTGTAAGGCGATGCGGGCTCCGCTTCGGTCTGTTACCGGGAAGCCGTGACCCAATCGATCCGGCAGAGGTTCGCGCCCGATATGAAGGATGACATCACTGTCACTGTAGCTCAGCGTATCTCATAGTATGGTGTTTCTTCGAGCCATGGAGATGGATACTAGAAGAGCACGAGCAAGGAACACGATCCGAGGGGCGAACATCGTATCGTTACGTGGTCGATCGGCTTTCGAACGTGCATTCTGGAAAACATCACTGGCTTTTCGTCGAACGCGAGCGAGAATGGAAGGTCACGTCTGATCATTGATTGTACGGCAATAAACATCTTCTGCTCCCGACGGAGATGTTTGTTCATCATCTAGCCGCGGAGCGAGCGAGGGGCTCGCGTCGGTATGAATTGAGCTCGCTACGAGTCGTTACGCCTCCTCGAGCGAGGTGATGAACATTATCAATGAGCATTGACTGCTCTGATTCGTCGAAACCACCCCTCCCCCCAAATTCATCCTCGGCTTTCAATCGACTGATGTGGAAGAGGATCTGAAATTGTTTCGAGAGGGGAAGCTTTCCATCAAACACGGAATTATTCACAGGATTACTCGTAGAACCCTGAGGCCTTCACTCGGAGCCGATTATTCCCATGATCATTCCCCTGATGGATACCAGCTGTGGTAAATTGCGACGACGTAGTCCTCTCTTCAGTGCTGGAGCGACGATGTCGATATGTGCCTAACGGATGTATGCTTTTTTAAAGCAACAACACTTGCTCACTTAAACTACTTTCTTCCCTGAGACTGATAGATCAGTGTTCGCAGTTTCGCGTCGAGTAGCTTGATGAGATATCCAGGTTTCTAGCTCATCAGTGACTTCCGAGAGTTCGAATGAAAACCCGATGGCTTCGAATCGTAGACCGATCGGATAGGGAAAGACGTCGATGAGAAGTGCTCCGTGACGAATAGGATGACCGAGTAAGCGCGTCGCTTCCGTATAGACAGATGAGAAAAGCGTTCGCTTCTGACTTCCGCGGACTTCCGTGTCAGGACAGCAGATCGATTCTCACTCACGGGTGTACTCGAGGTCGCAGCCCTATTGCCAGAAAATTCAGTTGACTCGCAGCGGAAATTCTACATGAAGCGTTGACTCAGCAACGATGCACCATGATTCAGAAACACAGGGCCTCCCTTCCAGTCATCGAATGGGCTGACATATGATCATGGCAAACGTCAGTTGGCGGTGAATTTGCCTCCCCAGGTCTTATGGCGGCGAATCTCCCCAAATTAGGACCGAATAATTAATTTTAGAATATCCTATTCCTCGATTCATGAACATACGTGTTTCATTGAGTTTTCGATGGGCCGTCTTGTCGCCAGCGTATGTCGGGAATCCACAAGATTCCGGAAGTCCCTCGGAGGATGAAGGCCATGGATGAAGTTGTCTGATCAGGAAAGCTTCCGACAACTTCGAGACCCATATACGCATAGTCACGCAGAGCTGAAACCTAGCTCGGGTGTTTTCCTTGAGGCAAGCAGATCGACTAACTTCGGACTTCTAGGCGGAATAGGGGTTGATCCATCCACATCGCAAGAAGTCCCAAACTCAGCCCCATCGACCATACGAAAGCTATCCGAATCCATTTGGAACCAGATCAGAATAAAGAAAGTTAGACATACCCCCTCCCTGGGCGCGGTTATATGATGCCGGGTCGGATAAAATCATCCTCGAATGAACTAGGTGTGGCTCGGAGCTATTCTTATCCGGATCCGGGGAAACGAAAAAAAATGTTTGAAAAGCATTCCCTTCCGGAGCTATATCCTCTTTCGAGCGCAAAGTTCGAACGGGATGGAAGAAAGCAATATCCGTGTCTGGAACCGAAAAGTGAAAGAAGACTTCAGCAGAGCCTAGCGGAACGAGCAGCAAACGGGGAAGTGTCTCAAGCGATAGCGAAATTTCTCGGGAGACAAGAGCGGAGGAAAGGAAGAGAAAACGTAGGAGATGGCATTTCCAATTCACCGCTGCGAGTACGGTCGTCGGATCTAAGCCTTTGGCGCGACGCGGGCTGCATGCAAACTTGGGAACTTGGACTCCGTGAGCTCAATGGGATTGGTCTTCCCCCGTATATCCGGAAGGTCGTCAAAATGGCTCTTCTGCCCAGCTTCCCGACCGCCTTCCTGCATGCCTGCCGTCAACCATTCAGGCTGCCGTTCCGGACCTACTAAGCTTGTGCTGTCGTCTCTCCTGCTGCTACTGGGCTACGTGAGTTGCGTGCGAATGTGTGACAACTTTCGAGGAGACCCACAACTTTTTCTTTCCCTCGAGCGGCTCCATTGTTCTTGCTGACGAACACTTCTGTGTATGAACACTGCGTTTATTTGGTCGTTGTCATCGTACTTGACGTCGTCGTTTCCCGTCCGCCGTAACAGCGAGCCTGCGGCTCGACCCTCTTCCCCGCACCTCTGTAGCGCCCGATATTGTTGCCGCTGCGTCTACAGAAACTACCACCGGTTGATCCTTCATGACAAACTCATTTTTCGACCTCCGTCAGACCTCCGCTGTGCTGCTTGACAAACTCTCGACACGTCGGAACGACGTTTATCGTTGCTCCTCAATGTCGACTCTTTATGAAGGACGTCGTACTTTCGGCGTAATACTTCAATATCTGTAGGATACAGCGCCCATGGAAGCGGCCTTAGGCTCCATGGCTGCTCGAGGTAACAATAGAGACTTTACGAGACTGGTGGTGGAGGAAGACTCCGGATCTCCCAGAAATAATCAACGGAAGAGAAATGTAATCTGCGATTTCCGAGCAGCGTATGCCATTCCATCCGTAGCCGTGTTCAGTTCCACTATATCATTTTTTTTTCTGTTGACATTCAAGTTCTGTGCCGCGTCTCCCAGGATTAGACTTCTAGGTTCTCGGAACGGAACCAAGGTCTCGACCCCGAATCATGAGAAAGAAGGATTTTCAGAGTGGCTTGTCAGTCTGATCGAATATTCACTTCGGTTTCTGGCCGTGGTCCTGGGACACGGGCGATTAATGATGGATGCTGTAAGGATCCTACCGGGTCTTGATCCCCGGTGACAACCGAACTCTTCGGAATTCCGTGCCCTGGGAGTAGCCAAGGTCGGGACCGGGATCATGTACACCTCGAACGAGACGAATTGCTCAATATCTTATCGGTCCTAATGGAGCTCCGATGGGCGATTCCGCGTCACCACTGACGCAATGAATCACATTACATCTGTCCGGCGTTGTCGCAATAGGAATCACTGCAGCCGACGGGGTAGATTAATTGGGGACACATGACTCGAGGCTCCGCTCTAATCGAGAACGAGGCTCGGATACCGAGAACAGAATATTCTAGGGACCGAACCCTTGACTGAACGGGTCGCTCCAGAACTTCGGGCTGTATTCTGCGGGAATCCTAGCCTCCTGAAGAGTCATCATTTCTCAGAAATCGTTGAACTCGATGAGCAGCGCGAATCCTCCACCGCAAAATTCCGCGCTCAACCTGCAGCATAAACTCTGCAAAATGGATGTCCGAGCGTGAATGGGCATCCGAGCTGATCGAAGCTCGATAGACGAACGAGTGCGCGACGTATAGCCTGTCGCTTTCGGCGGGGTTCCTCCGCCCTATGAGGCCGTCCGTTGGTCCTGATGATTGGACCGGTCATCCGAAAATTCAACGCAGCTAGGTGAGCATGAATGTGTCCTGGAGAATAAAGAGAAGGAAGAACCTCTCTTCCTCGTCGAATATCGCGCCTGAATCGTGTTCGACTTCTGTGAATAAGCTCATTCCCCCAACAGACTCTGCGAGTCTGAATCCGGGCTCCGAATCATCCGGAGGAACAGCCTCAATCTAGATTCTCAGAGGGACGAAGCATTCAAGATTCCATTCCTAGATCCTCTCGATTACCCCCCCCCCCAAAGCGTCCGTCTCCTTGGACCATCTTCATCAGTATCGATGTTGCCCATTTGATCTCACGAGACCGGAATCGCTAATTGTAAGCGGCTTGTCAGGGCGATTGAGGTTAATGACGGACCTCCATGAGACGTTTGGAGTCATTTTACGCGTACTGTGCCATTGTCATCTCAGCTAGCAACAGGGATGGACTTTCGACCATTTTGATGAGTTTCATCATTCCAACAAGCTCCCTTTGAGTGCACCCTTCGAGCCTGAGCTTTCCGGCTTCTCCCGCGCAGATCCGGCGCGTCCTCCTTCTCAAATTTGGTATTCACAAGGGAACGTCTTTTTTCCCTAAGTGCATTCATGGCGTTTCACAGACTGCCCTTGGTGACGACGACAATGTCAGACTGAGGAAACGAGGGGCACCAAGGGTTGAGAGGACGACTTTGAGGTTTCGAACGTATGCACTCTTGGACCTTAAGGGCAGATCATTATAACGCGTGCTGTCCCGTAGTGTTAATCATTAAATGGAACTCATCGTCAGCCCGGGGCTCGGAGCCTGGCTACAGGCCAGTTGTTCTCTCCCGAATTATCTCGCTTTTCCCTCCGAATTCTCTTATTTGCGCGCTCTTTCGCCCCTCGGTCCATTCAACGCAAGCTGAATGATACCCTTGGGAATGGGGTACACGGTGCGTGTACTTCGAGTTCTGTGTCGAATTGGGCCAATGAAAAACTATACCAGGTTGGCAAGCAATAATCAAGCGGTCGAG